ATTATGAAATCAGTTATGATAGAAAATATTGTATGTCGTTTCAAATAGTATTTTTAAATCTCTACAAAAACGCTGTATAAAACTTTTATGACGTAGTTGATGTTTATTTTATCAATTTTCATTATTTAATAAAAAACAATTTGTCAACAGAATATAACTAACTGGGTGTGGATTTTATTAAGTCACAGTTGATATAAAATCGATTTGGACTTGAACTTTTTGCGGAATGACTGAATTTAATTTAAGTAACTAATTTAATTTTAATTGGCAGCCATTACGTGAGAAATGATAACATGAGTTGTTTATACTATAGTGTATAGTTGTTGTAATTATCAATTTTCGAGACAAAATAATATTCGATCGTGACCATATAAACGCCCGATCGTGTTATCAACTGTCCACCGTCTTATGTACACGGTACAGGTGGGAACGAAAAACCCCTTATCGGCCCGAGCCGGTCATGGAGTGTGAGAGAGAGGTCGGGGGTAGATGACATTTGTAGGTAGTTGCCAGTCAGTATTCGATAATTCGATTATCAGTTATTGATTTAAAATTGATCCGGAGTGTCAATCCGCTGTCGTTCCGAGTATTATTATTTTTATTTACATATTGTAAAAAAAAAGTGAACTCTTCCTTTCATTTTCCTGGTATTCTTCTTTTAAAAATCGGGTTTCCTCTGACCTAATCTCACAAGTGCACATTCAAGTGCATAAAACAATTATTATTAGTAAAAATTGCTTACCTATACATTTTCAGTACATCTTTTCTTGAAATTATTGAAATTTAATATCTGTCCAGGTCGGCGTTCCTCATTTCATTTTCCTTCTTCCACCTTGGTCACAATAAATATTATCTTCTTTTCTACTATTATTTCTATTAAACCTATTTCAAACTTCTCACGAAAAAAACCTGAATATTCATAAATTTGTTGTAAATTAATTAAAAAAAAAAAAAAACCAGTACAGTGGGGTCGGGGCATAGTGGGGACGGAGCATAGTGGGGACGGGGAGGTCACAGGTTTATAGGAACTTTTAAATCTGAAAGTGATAAAATCACTTTCGAAAAAACGCTTCGATGCAAATCGGTAGTTAGTATTTTCAAGGCAGTACAATCTAAACCAAGCACAGTGTAAGCTAGGAAAGTTAGAAAGTAATAAATTGAAGCGATTTTATTCAATTTTATCACTTTTATTTATAATAATTCTTGTAGACCTGTGACCTCTCCGTTTCCTCATTGCTTTGATTACATTATGCCAATACTCTACTATACTAGTCCTCTCGGATAAAATCGCTTTCAAATAAACGCTTTGATGCTTCTATTTTGTAATTTTATCAGTCATTTAAAAAACGACACAAGTCACAAATTTGAAATATTACACTAGCTACAAGAAACTTCATAAATATATTTTGCAGTGATTCAAATTTCTTGTACTCAACATTTGTATTAAATATGAGTCTGACAAATTGAGTTTTCACACAGAATACGTAGCTAAGTATATAATTATTACATTTGATAAAAAGACAGTTTTGAAAAATCGGTGACCTAAGTCGTTTTTGAAATGGCCGATTCAATTTATTACTTTCTAACTTTCCTAGCTTACACTGTGCTTGGTTTAGATTGTACTGCCTTGAAAATACTAACTACCGATTTGCATCGAAGCGTTTTTTCGAAAGTGATTTTATCACTTTCAGATTTAAAAGTTCCTATAAACCTGTGACCTCCCCGTCCCCACTATGCTCCGTCCCCACTATGCCCCGACCCCACTGTACTGGTTTTTTTAAATATTGACTATTAAAATTATTAATTTTACTTTACTTATTAATATAAGTTATTAATTTGTCTGCACTGGTCTGTATCAGTCCTAAGTATCATTCATATTTTTGAAATTCTTGTTTTCTAATAATCAGTCTATTACCTTTACTTATTTTTATTTTTAAGAAGATACTGTATTTTTGAAACCAGTTTACTGAGAAATATGCAGACTTTCCATTGCACTGTGTACATGCTGCTTTTTTCAAAATTATACTACGTACTGTGATTTCACATCAAATCATCAAGTGTCAAAGGATAACATGCCACATTCAAAGCGCTTCAACCAATAACAGTTTTTATATATAACTTAATCCGTCGTACCTATTATCTAGACAAACCTTTTTGAGATTAAGCAACATATTGATATAGGCTATAACGATAAAGGAATCATATGCACATTGTACTTGAACAAAGCTACAATAATAAAATCGGGTGAAAACATAGTAGCCCGGTTTGAAAATTTAATTTTGTATATTTATATTTCTTTAAAAGCTGTATTTTTAGCTGAATATAAATCTGTAATTTGGATTGTTGTCATTGGATCCTTTCTGTCAAAAAAATAAATTATTAATTCATAGCTCAAATAGAATTAACTTTTTTAAAATTACCTGTGTTACTAAATATTATTGGTTGGATTTTGAAAAGAAACCTAAGGAATACAATTTTATAATAATAGAACTATATACATACAGGGTGATCCAACTAACGTAAGACACTCATTTATTCTGAAAGTATGAATATTTTACGAATTTTTTTTTCCTAAAATTTTAGGTACATATTTAACTAAATTTTTCAATATTTAGAAAAATTTTATCTTTGACCCTTATACGTTAAAGAATTACGAACTTCGTTTTTTTCAAATGGGTACATATGTTTTAAATTCCATAAATATATAGACAAAATCGGACTATATGGATGAAAATTAATAATTCAAACGATAACTTATTTTAAAAAATTTTTTCTACAAATTTATGGAATTAAAAACATGTGTTGCCATTTGAAAACGTGAACTTAGACCCTTTTTATCGTATAAGGGATGGAAATAAAAATTGTCAAAGCATTGAAAAATATATGTAGTAAAACTTATACCTAAAAGAATGGGAAAAAAAAAAGTTTCAAAATATTCATATTTTCCGAGAAAATGAGTGTCTTACGTTAGTTGGATCACCCTGTATTTATACAGGGTAATTCATTACGGATAAGACACTCATTTTCTCGGAATATATTAATATTTTTTCCAAGATTTTCTGGTACACATTATACTATATTTTTCAATATTTTGAAAAGGTTTATCATCAATCCTTTAAGGCAAAAAAGGGATTTTAGTTTTTTTTAAATGGCAACATATGTTTTTAATTACATACATTTGTAGACAAAAATAAAAAAATATTTTAGCGTTCGAATTTTGAATTTTCATTTATTTGTTCAATTGTTATGACTTTATAAAGATTTGATTTTTTGACTGTATTTCTTAATATTTTCAATTGTTACTACAAAGACGAGTAGTTACTACACGCATAAAAAAAAATTGATAAAGTGTGTTTATAAAACCAATCTGTGTGCCTGTGTTGGAATAGGAAATCTGTAGTTAAGACCCGTTTGTCTATCATTATTTAAAAGTCTTTTATACCAGTGACTTTTTTTGTTAGAGTGTTATTGCCAAATGGACAATGCGAACATTAATATGAACTTTATGTGCTACCGGTTTTGGAAAACCGAAGAAACGTGATAATTATTAAGAGAAAATGTAGTATCTTAACAAAGTCATAGCTAATGAACAAATAAATGAAAATTCAAACGCTAAAATAATTTTTTTTTTTTTTCTATAAATTGTTACATAAATTTGTAATGTAATTAAAAACATATGATACTATTTAAGAAAAAACTAAAATTCCTCTTTTTGGCCTTCAAGGATTAATGATAAACATTTTCAAAATATTGCAAAATATAGTACAATGTGTACCAAAAAATGTTGGAAAAAAATATTTTTCAAAATATTAATATATTCCGAGAAAATTAGTGTCTTATCCTTAATGAATCACCCTGTATATACATATATATGTGCGTTATCAATTAGGTTATTTTACCTTCAATATAGAGTTGTCAACACTGTTTGCATTTTTTTTATTGCTCTTAGGTTCTAAACACGATACAAAACGTTATTATATGAAATTAGTATTATATACGAAAATGAGTAACAAAATATAATATTTTAATATATAATGACAATAATAATAATATAATTGAAACAATAATATTAGAGGACGAGTTTTATTACGGCGTACCGCGGACAGCGAGGTAACGTTTCCACGACGCCGTCAAGTAATTCCCTTGGAAGAAAATAATTATTTCCGTAATATGAAAACATAGACCTATAAAGAAATGGACTGATAGTAGAGAGAGAGGTCCGAATATCGACATCGTTAAAAAAGACAGAGAGTTGTTAGGTTGATCATGGAAGAAATAATATTATCATGGAGAATTAGTAATATGATAATACCCGATAACGAAATTTTTATATTGAAATATTTTAATTGATCTTGTTATAGTAATTAAATTATTAAATTTCGTTTAATCTTATAATGGTATTTCAGTGTGTCATTCGTTCATGCAAAACAAAATCAATTAAAGATTGCATCATGCATCGGTAAGTTGAGACATTATTTACTTATATTATATTTTTATACATTTGAATATTGATCATCTATATATTACTAATAGTAATATACTAATAATATATAATCAATGATTTTAATAATAATATAATTTGTTTCAAAGCTGGCCTAGAAATCATGAAATGCTTTTAAAATGGACAAATGCAATACGTATGTTTCAACCAGATTTTACTCCGACGACGCATACAAAAATATGCAGTAGTCATTTTATAGAATCTGACTATAACTTGAGCTTTACTGGTAAAAAAATGTTAAAAAAAGAAGCTGTGCCAAGTGTATTTAAACTGGGTATGTTCTTCCTTATACTTGTAATTGTTACCAAATTTATGTATTTTTTTTATAAATATAATATTGTATATACATTTTGTTAATGTTATGTGATAGTAGGTACCTATATGGAAGTAATTTTTTTTAGAGTAATTTGTTAATTAAATTTTACTTTTCTTATCTTATCTTATTTACTTATTATTTAATTTCAAACAATATATTATAGAAGTATGTAAGAATTATTCAATGTTGAAATGGTCGAAGTCTTTGATGATGAAGAAGGAAGAAATTTACTAGAAATGCCAAGTAATTTAGAAAATATTTTGTTTTTTATTTTTTATAAATCTCAAAATAAAGCAACTTCTAATGTTTTTTTTTATTTTAGTAGATGAAGAAGATATTAAAAAATCTGACTTATGTAAAATGGTAGTTACTGAAACTGGTGATGAGGTTGTGCCAAATGAACCTAGCACAAGTCACTCATTCATAACACCCCCCAAACCTAAGTATGTATTCTGTTCTTACACAATTATTGTAGTTTTTATTTAAGTGTTTTTTCCCCCAGGAAACGTAAAACTTATGTTGGTGACTTTAAATCAGTTGAAGAATTGGAGAGTCCAAATTCTCGTTTGAAGTATTGGCATGCCTCTAAAAAGATGGTCGAAGTCTTTGATGATGAAGAAGGAAGAAATTTACTAGAAATGCCAAGTAATTTAGAAAATATTTTGTTTTTTATTTTTTATAAATCTCAAAATAAAGCAACTTCTAATGTTTTTTAAAATTTTAGTAGATGAAGAAGATATTAAAAAATCTGACTTATGTAAAATGGTAGTTACTGAAACTGGTGATGAGGTTGTGCCAAATGAACTTAGCACAAGTCACTCATTCATAACACCCCCCAAACCTAAGTATGTATTCTGTTCTTACACAATTATTGTAGTTTTTATTTAAGTGTTTTTTCCCCCAGGAAACGTAAAACTTATGTTGGTGACTTTAAATCAGTTGAAGAATTGGAGAGTCCAAATTCTCGTTTGAAGTATTGGCTTGCCTCTAAAAAGACAATAACAACTCAACAACGTAAAATTAAAAATCTAAGACAGCAAAATTATCGTTTAAATCAAAAAATAAAAAATTTGGATCAGCTGATTGATCATCTGAAAGATGAAAAGAAAATTAATGAAAATTGTTTTTCATTACTCAAGGTAAATATATTATAATAATGTCAAATATATGTTAAAAAAACGTATTTTTTGTATAAAAAATTAATTTAATTTAATTTTTATAGTTATTGCTATGTGTTAAATGGCTTGGTTGATAAGGTTACGTTCAGTGTTCAGTGTGCTATGGATTTGTTACCAAAGACAGGGCTCGGATTTTTTGCAATCCTGACATCCAATCATGAATTTAAGTATCGTTGATCCGTATCCTTTTACTGTAATATTAATGGCTCATCACAAAAAATATTCTCCTCCTTTATCTTTTTACATTACATGGTTAACTACTATATATTTTATGTTCTTCACAAAATAATTTTTAAAAATTTCATTGTACGTCTTAATTGTCAATTTTTATCCACCTAAAATATTTCTAATAAGAACCATTGATATTAAAACTGATTCTATCTCAAACATTTTTATCATTATTCCAATGACTGTGTGTATTAATTTGTTATTTTTTAGTAAAATGTGATGTCATATCCATGGCTTTTATAGATATATTTAAATATCTATAAACAGTTTCATTGAGGAACAAAACAAAATGGACCGTTGTGGATTGTTAACAGTTTCACTCGTAATACAATTTTATTTAGCGTTGAAGAACATTTTTCTAAGTATAATATTTCTTTACTCGTTTTAATAATGTATGAATAGCATCACTTCTTTGAATTTTTTAGTGAAATCAAAATAATGTTGGGGCTTTGTGTTTATATGTTTATATGTTTTAAATAAAAAATATACTATTGGTGATAAAAATAATAAAATTGTTGTGTTATGTCTATTAATTTTTATGGTTACAGTATAGTTCTTACTTTTGTTTATTTGTAAAATTATACCCTAAAGAATTTATTTATATATATGCTTTTTTTTTAAAGGAAAGTCTACCTAATGCAGAAACTGCTTTAATTATGCGACAAATTCATCATGAGTCTGGTGCATACTCTCCTGAGTTACGTACTTTTGCTCTGACATTACATTTTTACTCGCCAGCTGCATATAATTATGTACGTCAGACATTCCAAAATGCACTACCCGCCCCAAGTACCCTTAGAAAATGGTATTCATCAATTGATGGCACACCAGGTTTCACTGCCGAGTCATTAAAAGCTGTAGAAATAAAAAAAAAAGAAATGGAAGGTAAAGGGAAAAAACTTGTGTGTGCACTATTAATGGATGAAATGTACATTAAGGAAGGCATTAGTTTTAAAGGGAATAGGTTATCGGGATATGTTAATTATGGAACTGGTACTGACAATTGCGATAGCTTACCGAAAGCAACCCAAGCACTTGTTTTTATGCTTGTTGCCATTAATTCAAATTGGAAAGTACCAGTTGGCTATTTCCTCATTAACGGCATAGGGGCAACTGAAAAAGCCAATTTGATTAATTTATGTATTGGATTTGTAAATCAAACTGGAGTTCAAGTTAAAACTTTAACTTTTGATGGAACTGCATCAAATTTTTCTATGGCTAAGTGTTTAGGAGCAGATTTATCAATGCCAAATCCTAAGCCATTTTTTAAGCACGAAGAGTCAGGGATGGTTGTCCATATAATACTGGATGCTGCCCATATGTTGAAATTATGTCGCAATACATTAGGCGATTTAAAGGTATTATATACCGAAAAACTTGAACCTGTAAAGTGGTTATTTTTTGAAAACTTAGTGAGAATACAGGAAGAGATTGGCCTTCATGCAGGCACTAAAATTCGTAGTAGGCATATTCAATACCATAAAGAAAAAATGAAAGTGCGTTTAGCGGCTCAAACTTTTAGTTCAAGCGTGGCAGACGCTCTACAGTATTGTTCTGTACGTTTAAAATTAAAGTCTTTCGAAAAATGTGAAGCAACCATTATATTTTGTAATAGGATTAACAATATCTTTGATTTTTTAAATACAAGAAATTTTTTGAGTAAAGCGCAGTTCAAAAAACCACTTCGTAAACAAAATGAAATTGAGGTGTTTAATTTTATTGATGACTCAATTAATTATTTGCAATCCCTAAAATGTAATACTATGAAGCATATAAATAATGAAATACAAACAATTTCTATCTTAAAGTCTACTCGGAAGACTGGCTTTGTCGGTTTAATTATTACCTTAAAAAGTATAAAAAACATATTTATAGATACTCTCATAACAAATGATCTTGACTTTTTGTTAACCTATAAACTAAGTCAAGATCATTTGGAAATGTTTTTTTCTGCAATTCGGGCTAGAGGTGGGTTTAATAATAATCCAACTGCTTTAAATTTTGAAAGTGCGTATAAGCGTTTATTAGTTCATACTGAAATTATGACTTCTTCAGGAGCTAATTGTCTAGTTATGGACTTAACAAAAATTCTGTGGGTCAGCAGTGCTACTCCAAATATGTCTCAACAAAAAAAATCTGATATTTATGTAGATATGTTGTGCGCAGAAATAACGGATGACGACCTAAATATATGTGGCGATAACAATTTTGATGTTTTACAACAAGCAGTTGATGATGTTGTTGAATATATAGCTGGCTACATTGCTCGAAAGTTACGCAAAAAAATTATATGTAATAAATGCACTGCTGCTTTAGTTAGAGGTCAAAGTGAAACAGAATCACTAATAAGTATCAAAACCCGTGGTGGATTAATATATCCATCAGTGGACACTATTTATTTATGTAAAGTTGGTGAAAAAATTTTTAAAATGTACAAAAATGAACTTTCAACAATACCAAATAATTTAATAAATTTTCTAATTATAAAAGCCACCTCCCAAATTAATTTTAACAACATTTTCGTATCCCTAAATACACATATTTTTAATCAAGACCCAATAAATAACCATCTACTACAACTCATCCATTTAATATTCCAAAGTTATTTTAGAGTCCGGGTCCATTATTATACGTTAGGTGAAAGTCAGCCAAAAAATCGCATTAGGTCTCACTTAACAAAAACTATTCACTTTAAAAACCAGTAAAATGTATTGTTCCTTATTTTATATTTTTTTATTATTATTACCTATTATTATTTATCATTATTTTTTGTATAATTATTAAACTTTGTGATTTTTTTATTATTATTATTACCCATTATTATTTTTTGTATTATTATTAAACTTTGTGATTTTTTTTTATATTTATTATATTTTGGTCGTAACTTGAAAAAGAAACAAATAAGTAGTGATTTTATAATACCTAGTGAATTTGTTTAAACTTAGATGCAGATCTGTGATACAATAAATTGTCTATTGAGTTTGTAAAGAAAAACTGTTTTTCAAAACATACTTACACGTTCTATAAAAAGTAAAACAGAATGTTCATTGATAAAATTTGAATGAAATTGTAATGGTTTTTAAATATTTATTAACGATATACTATATACATATCTATTTAAAACAATACATCATACGAAAGCATTGGATACCCGACAAAATAATGAAATACATATCCTTAAATGTTTTACAACTTCGCATAACACAATAATAACTAATAATTAAATAAGATTTAATTATTATATATTTCCATTTGGTGTATTGTCATATATATATTTAAATTATTATTATTCCATGTCTTTTCAATTTTTATTCCATGGTCAACCTAACAACCATCTATCTCTTTCTAACGTTGTTCATAACGCGGCTGCATAGGCGGGGTGTGTGGGAGGCGCAGTCCATATCTTTATAGGTCTATGTATGAAAAAGGGACATTTGTAACTTCGACTAACTGAACTGAAACGTAAATAAGAGATGCTCAGAAACGCATTCGTCTTTACAGTGCGAACGGAAACTGTATTTTCGAATTTCAATTACGACCAAAATATAGTAAACCATATCGAATACTAAACGATGCTATTTTATGTTTTAAGACTTTATAAGGGAATCACCAAATTAATAATGTTTAAAAATAAGTAACTATTACCTTTTGGTGGTTCTGAACTACTTGCCTCCTCCGAGGTTCCGCCACCTACACAACCTTTTAAAAATAAAATATTAGATATTTCAAAAAATAACGAAGATAATGAATCAAAATTAATTAGTGTGCATTTTTAAATGAGCACGAAATTATTTAATCTAATCGAAGTTGCATAACTATTTTAACCTTTATTCCTCGGTACATAACTTGTTCATGATAACACCACACTAAACCAGTTTAAAGTAAAGGTCTGTCACTTTTTCAAAACAGGGTTCCGTTAAAAGATGTTAATTATTTGTCAAGTTCGAAATATTGCACAATGTACATGACCATAAAATATGTGTTTTATTATATTATAATTTGTATTAAAGTGTATATAGCATGTTTAAATCGTTTCAAAGATATTCGATTATAGAACTATTAATAACCAAAATATTTCAAATTAAATGAACAAGATATATAAAACGTCCAAGATAAATTAGCTTTTGTCGTGAATATTGTTGGTACCATATTTAAATTGTACAAACAAAATTAAATTAAACAAAGTAATAAGCGATGAAAAAAACATACCACCTAAACATGAAGACACCCAGCCTAAAAACGAAAAAAAACAATTCATTATTGTTTTGAGAACTTTTGGCAGTAAAACATTTTTAATAGTAAATATTTAAGAAAATAATAGCTTTCAATATAACATTTTTTACACGATTTTAAAACTGTGTTAAAAACCAATTTCAATAATACTAATAATAAGAATACAAAAAGGTTTTGATTTATAAATGTTGATATTTTTATTTACATAACAATAAATAAGTCACCATGATATTACTATACACGTTGTTGTTTTTACTAATAACTAATACAAAAGAAAATGTCCAGTATTGTAATACTTATTGTCTTCACAATATTTTAATGTTTATTGGATATATATAAGTGATACGTTTTTATCAACAATAATGTTCTAGGACAAGCGAGTCTAGCCGAGAACATGTACCGAACCTAACTATTTAGTAAAAGTGCTCGTGTGAATCACTGTTAACAGACTCTGATTATAACTGCGCTCTGTCGTATATGATCAGTGTAACGCAATTCATCAGATAAAAAAAAATCCCCCAAATACAGTTGTGCAGAGGTTAAACTAATACTGCGTACGTTAGTACCGGGTTCACGAATTTACTTTGTTTTGATTATTTATTAAGTTTTACTAGATGATTATTGCATCCAATCGTTGTTCGAGTTGTCGATGGAGTTCAGATATAAGAAAAAGAAAATAGAAGAAATTATCTTACCACTGAACAAGATCCTTCGGTGTTTTGACGCTCTAGGCAATCACTGTATTCGGCCGTGTCGGTCTCGTAAATACAATTTGCCAGTAGATGTCTCTGACTACTAAAAAACTTAATCATTTGGTCCGAGACCAGGGCTATTTCTGTAAATGTGCTCCTGTATCTCTGACGCACTAATGTTGAATGTGTTACGCGACTTTACTGTATTCTATTAATTTTAAGAAAACTTTTACTATCCTCCCTTTTCAAAAAACTTTAAACTATTAATCCATAATTATAGCTGATTAATAAAGATAGAT